TATCATTTTAACTGATAATCAAATGGTAAGCTAACGACCGAATTATTATGATAATAATATTTAATTTTAGGTATTAAAAGTTGTCTATTTCCAAGGTGTTCTATTTCCAAACCTACTACTTTGATGGCATAAGCTGGATGAAACGGATGTATTTCCAGAAAAAGGTCGAGTCTGTTTGTTGTGGTGACAGTTTCTTCGTAGTGCTTACTGAAGACAAAAAGATATACACTTGGGGAAGAAATCATCATGGTCAATTAGGTGTTTCTACGTGCAGGGACGAATTTATAAGCGATCTACTTGAAGTTAAAAATAAAAACATTTGCATAAGTAATTTCTTTATTTTGAAAGTCCATTTTTAAAGATGATTTATGAAGAAAATGAAGGCTTTGTATACATTGTTGACTAATTTATATTTGACCTTGACATTTTAGCAAGAATAGCCTGTGGCTATACACATGTACTCGCATTATCTACAGAAGGAAATATTTTCGTCTGGGGTGGAAATTCTTGTGGACAATTGGGTTGTAATTCTAGAAATGACATCCATGATCCTCAAATGGTAAAAAAATTAATGATTTGTTATTATAATTATTGTAAGAATAGAAATGTAAAACAGAAAATGAAGATAGAAAATTTTTGGAATTAACAGATTATGATAACGCCTAAACCAATGAAAATGTTGGATATTGCTGCCATGAAAAATATGAGTTGTGCCATAAGCGAAGAAAAACTTATTTATGTGTGGGGCAGTTGTTTCGATCAACAAATTCAGACACCTGTTGCCTGTGAATACACGACTCTATTTGACATGTGTAACGCGATGTCTGCCAGATCGCCAACTACTGTGAAAAACTTTGAACAAAACGAGAAATCCACAATATTGAATGATATCGCAAACTCATTTAATGATCCTGTAAGTTTCGTTCTGTGCATCAGTCTAGTCAGTTTCTTCTTAATAGATTTCCGTATGCTTTTTCTTACATGTAATTGATTCGGACCGTAAACTTTCGAAATTCTTAGACTTGTAAATGATACATATAATATATAGAAGCCGTAGGCAAGTCATTTACAAAAATTCTTTACTTGCTTTCTTGCATCTCATCACAATGACTTACTGTGGCCCAATTCTGTTTTTTGCTTTGTGTAAATTTTTCAGCATCCTTAAAAAAATATGTGTACAGGTAGAAGAATTATCGACTCAGTTTTTTTATTAGAAATAGTATGATTAGTGGACATTATTTCAGATGCACCCTCTGTGTGTGTGTGTGTGTGTGTGTGTGTGTGTGTGTGTGTGTGTGCGCGCGTGCGCGCGCGTGT